AACACCAGAGGCGTTACAAGTGCGTTACCGGCCCTTTGGGGATTAGGAGTTTGAGGATCGTTGGGGATTCAGGAATTGGGGAGAGTGGGGACGGGGAGAGTAATTGGGCCTCCGGTAACCTCACTCACACGACGAACGTACGACGAAGTATATTTTTTTGCTCTCTGTAATATACTCGTATGTTTAATCAAACAATTGTACTAACTCAAAACCCGTAAAGAGATTCCGCATATTAAGATACGATTTTTGTCTAAGAAATGAGGTATATCTTTAGAATACATATTAATCAAACAAAACTCAAAAACTTGTACCTTAAAACTCTAAAAGAATCACGGTCAATGAACTTATTTACCCAGCAAAACTTTTGTAAAACCAATAAAAATACGCCTCTATAATACTTTTATCTTAACATGGACCAATCAATCAAGAATAGAATTGCATTCCATTAATTTGAACTTCAGCACTATTCGAGGATAGATCCAAGAAATGCCGGAATTTATTGCTTTAACCAATGGAAATGGAACGAACTTGGTAATAAAATCATTACGTTTGTGTCCCTACACCCTTTTCCACAAGCATCCCGGTTGCCACCGAAGTTGGCATAACTTGGAAATTTCTCGAAACTGTAGGCACTAAGAATTTAACATTAATTTCGAAAGCAGTTTTTCTTCTCTATTTGCATATTGATTTGATTTGATGGTACTCGGATTTTCAAGAATTCGCGTTTCGTATTAATCTACGGAGATGTATCTTAGCTTGAAAGAGATAGTTTTGATAGGAACTGAAATACTGAAGAAGTGTATTTCTAGTCCTTTCACGGTAAGTTGCTTGTTTGTTCGTTTGTATTTCTAGTTTTAAGATACAGTGAAAGTGCAAAAAACAATTCAAATAAAATGTAAATAATTCTTCTATTAAGAAACTTGAAAACACAGATTTTTTTTCTCGATTCTGAATACAAGATCTTCTAATCAACAGTTGTGCTGGTAACTAGATGATCTAATAAGATCCTTTACAATATATTCTACATTTGAATAAATAACACACTTCTTGGAAAATACACTCTAAATACATGTAATATAAGGTTAGTTTCATACATATTTATTCTGTTTTTTCACATCAATGCGTACCAATGATTACCTAGTCCCTTCTCTAATAACGAGCATCAATTCCTCACTTACATGTGTAATACTTGATGTGGAAATATACTAGTTCTTATTTATTTATATGTATATAGAAACTTATTGATTTCATACGCTGAGTGGTTGGAAGATTCAAGCGTGGCAGAGCCATGCTTCGGCACAAATGGGTCAGCTCGACCGGAGTGATACCACGGCCTGACAGTACACCAATCCCTAAATCCCCAACAATTCTCAAATTCCTTATCCCCAGAAGGCCGGTAACGCACTTGTAACGCCTCTGGTGTTCCAGGTAATACCGACTGCTTACCGTCGGTGATCCGTCATTTACCACATACACGTCCTGAGGTGATAAGGTGTTTTAACCTATCTGGTGAAAATAATTAATATAGCCTACCATTTTCACCATCTAAACTCACTCTTTAGCATACCTCTTGTCCTAAGACTACTAGATACTTTACGAATATCATTACTCTGGTTAGGAAGGCCTTACATTGAATACTTTTACCGATAACCTCACTCACACGACGAAACATAACGATGATTATGGTTTTCTTTGAGTTCGTGGTCTCAGCTCGAGTCGATTTATACCAAACCATGGCCCATCGACGTGAAAAACTTCCTATGTGTAAACTTTTTAATAATACAAAAAGTTCAACCAACACAATCAAGCTGTTACCATTATCATAATCGACCTTATTGATATCGATTATATTGTCAATGGACAATATAATCGATTTTCCGCTACAAATGGAGTAGAATGCTATACTGTGTCAATGTCAGAGTGATTGTTTAATTAGGTCGATAGTCGCTTGTCCTCGTGCAAATGCTAAGTGCCACTAGATTAGCTTGCCACTTATAACAATGTGGTGTTAAGTTACAAGGTGGCTATGATACAAACAAAACAACATACTCAAAGGGATAGGCAGAGGTACACATATAAATATCCTGTTTTTAAATGGAAGTCGAGAAAGACGTTATTGTCAACAGATGCCACGTGGATGACTTGATGACGACCAACTTTTTATCGGTTTATTTACGAGACTCATGTGTTTATATTTTCTCTTTTTTTTAATTATATATTACTAGCGACCCGCTCCGGCTTCGCACGGGTGCAATATGCATGTATTATACATACAAACCTTCCTTAAGAATCACTCTATCTATTAAAAAAAACCTCATCAAAATCCGTTGCGTAGTTTTAAAGATCTAAGCATACATACGGACATACAGCGAAAGCGACTTTGTTTTATACTATGTATTGATTATTGTATCTGTGTGCGTGTCTACTGTCAAATAAATGATTTTTCTTTCTATCATTAGGGTAGCCGCCTATTCAGCCTATTGCCAGAAACAAATTTCATGTAGACACATTTCCAGACTTCTTATTTCATTAAAACACAAATGGTGATATAAATGGCTAACAAACAAAGAAGTTAGTTTTAATTTAGTGAGAAGTTTTCTAAAAATAATAAGATTGAATTATGGTGAACTCAAGATTTGTGCTCGGAAGTCAATATTGTAACTAATTGGGTAATATGAATATGATAAATATTGGTCCTTATGTGTGGGAGAGCAATGCTTCGGCAGGAATAGGCCGGCTTGACCGGAGTGATACCACGGCCTCACAGAAAACCGACGTGAAACAACGCTTGCGCTGTGTTTCGTCGCTTAAGGTTACCGGAGGCTCAATAACCCCCCCTTCCACAATCTCTCCAATCCCTAAACCGCCAACAATTCTCAAAATCCTAATCCCCAAAAGACCGGTAACGCACTTGTAACGCCTCTGATATTCCAGGTGTCCATGACCGACGCCGATTGCTTACCATCAAGTGATCTATCTTCTTGATTACCGGCTTATTCCATAAAAAGAAATGAATGTTGAAACGTTCCTCTAATATACTTCTTTCTTTGTTATTGTTTCTTGTATCTTCCATAAAACAAAATGAATACAATTTAATGCATATAGTACACACTCCATATTGAAAATCGATTGACCTTCGCTACAATAAAGCTACCAGACAATTTTTCCACAAGCAGTCAGTGAAGTATACCGTATTAACTTTTTTATTATAATGTAGAGGTATAGATAACCATATAAAGTAATGATGATTGAGGATTGTTACAGGTTGGATTTCCAAGTATTACAAATTATTTATTGAAACGAAAGTTTAGAATTAGAGGTTCCTTGTTCCAATGTTACGTTAAACTGCCTCGTTGGCCGAGTGGTTATAAGTACGACTGCCGGCAAGGTTCGATTCCCGAATCGGGTAAAGTACTACTGGGTTTTAAAAATCCTCAATCTGGAATAGTGACCGGTATGTGGCATAGGCTCACCCTCTATTACATGGGACTCATAACATAAATAGTCAAAAGTGGGTGTTACATTGTACACTTGTTCAGTAGCATTAAGTGCCGTAATGTGCACCTCTACCTACTCCTTCGGGAATGAAATACGTGATGCTGTGTTAGTCTTAAAATCTAATATAATATAATGCTGCAATGATACATAGCCTTAATTAAACTGGTCAGGGTCAACTTTAAAAACCTTTTAAACTGTCAAACACACCTAGTGTTCTTTAATTGTGTCTATAATGACGGTACTCAAAAGGTTAAAAAACAAAAACTGAGCAAGAGCAATCAAGGGAAACAGCTAACTGATAAAACTCTTACATTACCTAATGATCCTGGACATTAAACCTTTAAAACCCCGTTTAAAAGTGTCGAAAAACAACGAAGAAACCATCTTTTTAAACGTTGTAATATACTCGCCGTATCCGTATCGGATATTCATGTAATTAACGTCGAAAATTCTATCCACCTAACAAAATTCGTTCTTACTCCGTACCATTAAAATAATGGAGTTGTTTCACACGAAAATAGACCTTAATAGCTGTTTAGTTGTGTTCTAATGAAAATATACGCTACGATTTTAGAACTTGGTTTAAACATTTGTCTGTGTTAGAGGGTAACTTCTGGTGTTTCGAAGGTTTGTTTATTTTGTGTAAATATCACATAATCCTCATGCCTTTTCCATGAAGGGGTAAGTAGAGATGAAGGTCCTAAAACTGCGACCAGACAGATGGGCAGAAACATCTTTAAAATATTTGGTGAAGCGATTGTGATCCCCGAATCAACTGTTATGGTTGGGCATTATGGTACACCCTCCCTTTAAAGGGAGACTTTCAAAAGTGTATACTATGTTATGTATGATAGATTGTACTAAAAAAACAATAAAATGATCAATAAAGTGTGGGAGAGCCATGCTTCGACTCGAATGGCCCGGCTCGATCGGAGGGCCATACAAAAACCGACATGAAACAACGCTTGCATTTTTCTTCGTCGTGTGAGTGAGGTTAGCGGAGGCCCAAATACCGTCCCCCTCATTCCCCAATCTCCTCAATCCCCAACAATGCTCAAATTTCTAATCCCTATAAGGCCGGTAACGCACTACAAATCAAATCAAATTTACTTTGTTAACATAGCACTTGTAACGCCTGTGGTGTTCTACGCGTCCATGGGCGATGCCGATAGCTTACCATCAGATGATCCGTCTGCTCGTTTACCAGCTCATCCCATAAAACTAAATACTCCTATGATGCTATATAGACTATACAAGTACAACTACACACATAGAAATGAACTGTTATGTAGTGACTAAAATTTAAGTTTTCCTCTCAGTAATCTGTGTGAAAATATTCACATATGGCTGAAATGGATTATTATGAGCTACAAACACATTTCCACATTTATAAACTGGCTTATGCCAAGCTAAATGAAATCTTAACCTATTTATATCTAAGTCTATATTACAATAAATGTTTCTTATAACTATAATGAATAAAAAATATACTAAACATTTACCTCTATGCGATTTTCTATCCTCTATTGTGCCATGAAGCTGATGCCAGGTACCTGAAAATTAAAGAAAATTTGTTAAAAACTGTCCTCAAATTACATATTATTTGGCCTGGCTCGTTGGCCGAGACCGACCGAGCAAGGGGTCTCGGGTTCGATTTCCGGGTCGGGCAAAGTGTTACTGGGTTTTTCAAAAATTCTCAGTAGTAGCACGGAGTCTGAAAATGCAGTATATAGCAACAGACTCACCCCCAATTACATGGGATTCATAACATTAATAGTGAAAAGTGGGTGTTACATTGTACACTGGCATTAAGTACCGTGATGTGCACCTCTGCGTACCCCTTTGGGAATAAAAGGCGTGATGTTATGTTATGTTATCTTTCTTTACTAATACTATGAAGAGATGTTTTGTATGCCATGTGTTGGTACGAATGGGCCAGCCTGATTGTATATATACAGTCTCACAGAAAACCAGCGTTAAACACCTATATGTGCTATGTTTCGCCATGTTACTGAGGTTACTAGAGACTAGCGTTCTTACATACATTAAACAATAGGTAAATGATCAAAGAATTTTTCAATGAGTTAGTAAAAAATATTTTTTCCATTCAAAACTACACTTTGGAACGATGACCTAGCTTCACTGACAGACGTCGCGGAGAACCTAACGGGTAACCGGGGCTCCGGCTCGACGTGCAGGAAAAGGGACGGGGTGGTTTTTAGTCAGTAAGAGTCTGACACTCCCTCCCGCCTCACCCAGGCGGGAGCAGTCATTCGATGATTGACTACCCCCCTTAAAAAAAAAAGCTTCACTAACAGACAGACGGATGGGCAATTATAATGTTGACGTTTGAAAAGTGCCTAATTAAGAATTAATTGAAATAAATACTTTGATTCTTACTCTGATTTTTACTCAATCCGTTCCTTCTATCCACGATTCTTAAATCCCCAAAAAGGTCAACAACAGACTTCTAATTCCAATCGTGTTACAGGTATGTGCGCTGCCGATAGCACGAACACACGAGCAAACAGCTCGTCTTCATTCTAGAAACATCTTTTAAATTAAATTAGCAACAACTAATATGACCTGAATGTAACTTGAAAACAATAACTTAATGTTCAGAACAAATAGCCAGAGTACTTACACACGGCAGCACATCAAAGTACACCAAAACAAGTTTATTATGGTCTGGCTTTGTATCAATTTACCGAACTATTGAGGCTCAGTTTATACTGGTACTTCATAGCTGTATAAATCCAGTTTATCTTGATCTCGCTTTCTGTGTTATTTTCGCTCATTCGTCGGTCACTATATACTGGTTGTGAATAACTTGATGTGTACTATGTCCACAAGGTAGGTCGTTCAGGGTATGACCTAAGTGCTTACGTCACAAATATACCTTAGACTTTGCTTTGGTAAAATATGAGATTGGTCTATATGACTAGGTCATTGAGGTTATCAGCTGTAGGAACGAAAAAGATCGTGGTCGTGGTGGCCCGGAGGTTTAAGACGCCCGCTTCTCATGCTTGAGGGTGCGGGTTCGAAACCTACCAACGGCAAGTACCAATGTGACTCTTTCCGAGTTATATGTACTTTCTAAGATTATCTAGACATCACTGACAAACGGTGAAGGAAAACATCGTGAGGAAACCTGGACTTCTAATTATAAGTTTGTAATCGCCAACCCGCTTTGAGCAAGCGTGGTGGTTAATGCTCAAACCTTCTCCGTGTGGGAAGAGGCTTTGCTCAGCAGTGGGCATTTATAGGCTGTTGATGATGATAAACTATAAAGTATGTTGATTTTGAGGTACTCAGATTTGATTCTAAAGTCAGGTAAAATGTTTTGTATTGAAAAGATATTTGAACTATTATAAAGGTTTGTTGTGTGTTATTTTGATTGGTCTTGAGTTGGATGCCCGGGTCAGGCAAAGTATAACTGGGTTTTTTGTTAATTTCTCAGTAGTTGCACGGAGTCTAGAATTGTGCCCGATATATAGCAATAGGCTGACTCCCTATTACATGGGACCCATAACATAAATAGTGAAAAGTGGATGTTACATTGTACAGTGGCATTAAGTGCCGTAATGTGCACCTCTGCCTACCTCTTCGGGGATAAAAGGCGTGATGTTATGTTTCTTTAATATCTTCTTGGAAAATATGTGAGATGACATTGGAAGAACATTTCAAAATTCCTAGGAAAAGGAGTATTCAAAATTGGATTAATAGGCATACAAAATTACGATAAGAAATATATTAAAAAAAACAAACCAGAAAAATATAAAATATACGTTCACTAACATTCGTTTTTTTCGTACCTATAAGTATATCCTAATTTTTTGGTTCATTGACTCCAAAAAGGGAGACAGGTACAAGAGTGACAGTTCCAAGGAAGGAGATATGTTACCGATCTCTTTGAAGATGACATGTTGCGACATGTCAGGACCTGTCAGTAAGACATGTTGGAAAACATGCCGCACACTAATATTTACCTGTAACCATGCTTTGAATTTTGTATGAGTGTATGTGTGTGTTTTTGTATACAGTTGAATAGTTATATATTATATATCTTTAGTTCGATTAGTTGACATAGACAGACAAACTTGACTGTTCGTTTTGTTTTTGTTATAATGAAATGAAAGGATAAAAGAAAAATGGACAATAGAGATGAAAGATTAAAGTTATTTGGTAAAGATATTTTATTTGGAATGGTGAAATATATTTCCGATCAAAGAGATTGTCTGTCTGTCCGTCTGAGCGGCTAGTTTAAAATATTGCTAGCTTAACTATTTTAATTTTCTTCACTTTATATTTTGGTGTAAGTTTGTTTTCATAATAGCATACCTAGAGATCGGAGTATTCCCTGACCCAAAAGTAGTGTACTATTCAAAATAACTTCACACCTTATAGCCCCGAAGGTGTAAGCACAGGTGCACTATGGCACATAATGCTACTGTACAATGTAACAATCACTTTTCACTACTTATTTTATGTTACGAATCCCATGTAGGAGGGGGTGAGGCTATTGCCATATACCGTGCACTTTTCCATAATCCGTGCTACTATTGAGATTTTTATTTACTTAAATTAAAGTAGTATAATATTACAGTCATTAGACCAAGGCGTTATACATTTCAAATAAAGAAACGGAAAGAAATGGATGGTAGAAAAATATATAAAAAAAAATAATAATACATATAAAATAATAAGAATTTTTTTACAATCTATGATAAGTTTTAACAGCAATAATCAAAATACACAATAAAGGTATTTACAACACAATATCTATTTACTTTTAGCTGTGGTCGTCCCCCTGCACAGCAAAGGACTTCCTACCCTCCTTCCACTCGTTTCTTCTTAAAGTTCTATTTTTTTTATTTATAACACAACCTATATTGACTGCACGGTTGGTGCGGTGGCTGGGAACCGGCCGCCGTGCAACGTGTCGCGGGTTCGATTCCCGCACGGAACAACACTTTGTGTGATCCACAAATTGTTGTTCCGAGTATGGGTGCCATATGTACGTGAACTTGTATGTTTGTAAACGCACCCACGACACAGGAGAAAATCCTAGTGTGGGGCAAAGTTTTTTTTCAAAAAAAAAAATATATATATATAGAGGTACATAGAAATGAAACCCGTTTCCCGTTGTCACGTTATAACTTGAGAATGGCTAGACTGATTTGGCTGTTTTTTTTTTGTTGTGTTTATTATCGTCAGGAGAAGGTTCTTAAGACAGAGAAAAGTGCTGAATGGGAGAAACGGGATTGCGCGTACGAAGTCGCGGGCAGAAGCTAGTAGAAAATAAAATCATGTTTTGCACTCATACACTCACAGAACAAAATAATGAGATGGGACCCAATAGGGCCGATGCCGATTCGGAGTCGCGGAGAACCTAACGGGTAACCGGGGCTCCGGCTCGACGTGCAGGAGAAGGAACGGGGTGGTTTTTAGTCAGTTAGAGTCTGACACTCCCTCCCGCCTCACCCAGGCGGGAGCAGTCATTCGATGATTTACCCCCTTAAAAAAAAGGGAAAAATCAAATAGAACTTATGTTTAATCATATTAGAAATTCATTACAATAAAAAACTTATACTAATTTTTCTAACACCATTTTTAATTATGCAAAGAAAAATCAACTCTCTTAATTGATCTTTGCCCTCAATAAATTAACCACGGTTTAATAAGTATCGAAGGTATAATTCAGCTTGTTATCAAAATTAATTTAGTTGACACCCAAATTATGTAGGTGACAGCCGGAGGACTTTGAAATAATCGAAACTTTTAAAGATAAAAGTTTAATTAATTTAAATATTACAATAGTTTTATGTGTAGACTTGGACGATGCTAGTACCAAAGTGAATTATTTTATTAATACATATTATAGTTCGAATTAATTCTACGTAAAATACAGATGCAACATCAGCACTGTGGAAGTAAGTCACGATGCGGCGACACGAGGAGTCGACTCAGCATATTAGGTGTTGCAATATTCCGTAAATGTGTCGCTTTGTGCGTCATTGGCTATCATGTCGCTATTCAATGGATTTGGTATAGGCAGGGCACATAACACCTCCACCCTCAGAACAGCAACTATTTGAGCAATTTTAGCGAGAATGTTGCTGGCATCTGGTTCTCGGTGACTGTAGATGTATCTGCTCCGGCGGCCGATGGCTCTGGTGGATGATTCTCGGTGATCTCATCATTTGCTTGCGGCCTCGTAAATTTAGTGCAAACATTGTAGTGGCGTAATGCGGTTGCAACAATGAGTGCAGTTGCACCGAATAGTACGACGTATAGTGGTATCGTCGTGTGGTAGAATGATTGCGATAACTGTGTATGTTCCAGTTGCACGGGATTCTGCATGAGTATTTTATCTTCGATCTCGTGAAGGCTTTTCAGATGCAACGAATTTAATTTCAGGTGTCTAATCGGTTCTTCAGTTAGATTTAAGTTCATTGGTATTTCGGTTATCTTTAGAGGTTGTCCTTTGATATGATCGTTCGTGTTAGTGATTGTGAACTGATCAGTGCGTAGTAGGCAGTTCTGCGGGATA